ATATCGATATTCCTGGTTATTTTAGGCGTAAATGTCAAAGTTCTTAAGGAGACAGATGTGCATCTTCTAATTTTTATAAATCCCATTCTTTACACCATTTTAAAGTTTAATAAACTTGTTTGTGATGAGGTCTTGTAATGTCAACAATTACTTTCATAAAACTTTTACTGACTTACAAACCGCCAAAAAAATCAAGTAAAGTACATAAAAGACACTTATTTGGTTACATCTCCGATTATTCAAACCCCAATATTTGTCTAAGATATAAAAAATTGTCATCCGTGAACTTCTTCCGAACAGTAAACCCTTGCTAAAGTTGGACACTCGTTTGGCTGTGTGGGATGTATAAATACACAGCCACGTTCGGTCGAAATTAGGACGTTAAATTCGATGACTCGTTAAGCGAGAGTGTCACGTTCTTTTCTCGTTATAAAACCCCTGGAACAAGTCTTTCATGGGGGTCCGTACGTGGTCTGTTCAAGGTTAAATGTCTACCCTTTTCCAACATATTATTCGTTCTATTGGCAGTCTTGTTAATTTTTACCGCCCTTCATCAGTGTAGTCCCATCTTGCATAACCTAACTTTAACATTAATGGTTATGGTTCAGAATATGTATGACATAATTGCTATTGGACTGTAAACAGGAACAATCGTTCAACTCTGGTCAACATACAATTGTTAATTTGTTTTTGTTCTTTAAAATATGCATGTAACATTCGCCACTGGACGTTAATCAATAAATGAATCCAGTTATTTATATATATCCGATTGTGCTTATGAAGTACACATTCGGTGATGTCAAATTCGAGAAAAAGTAGACGGGATTGCGGTTAAGACTACTTTAAAATATCCGTCGTCACCTTCAAAACAGATATTGTCTGTCGAGCCCTTATCTGGATCAACCTTCACCAGTAATGCTTAATTCAACTTGAGGGTACTTAAACAAATTAGCCAAATCCTCCTTAAGTCATCTTAGCCTGAGGGATTTGGAACATTAGATTCTTTATAATTTCTTAATTGATAAACAACGGAGCTTTTATGAAAGTTGTGTTATAAATCACGTGACATGTACCGAAGTACTGGCTTCTGGGCTAAATATACATACGGGGACTAGCAGTCATAAAGCAGCGGTATCGACCCAGTGTTAGAAAATGTAAACAACTCTTATAGGTTTGATGTGTTCAAAGCTCTGTTCCTTATTAATCATCACCAGGAACGCTTAATAAAAAAATGTGAATGCCATTTTGTATAAATATGTGAATACTTGATAGGAGCCACATGCATTTCTTAGAGGACATAAAACCACAGCAAAAAAAAAAACACCTATGATTAATTTTGTATGCGAGAGTTTGAACCTTAGTTTCTTTTTAAAATAGTTTCTAAGTTTATCAATGGAAAATTTAAGAAAACAATGTTATACATTATGTAAGCCCATCAGCAGAGGTACCAACCAAGTGATAGAAAGTGAAAATAACCCATTTTAGATTTGATGCTTCCGAATCGCCTATATAGATTTACTTTGATCAGGAACGTTAAAACCAAAACATTTGAAATCCAAGGCTCTACAAATATGTGAGTACTTAAGGGGATACATAACTTAATGAGACCTTAAACGAATAGCCAAATTCATATAAGGTTAACCTTGCCTCAGGAAGTTAGAACCTTAGTTATTTCCTTATAATTCATAAATTTATCAAGAGAACATTTAAGAAAGGTGCAAGTATGTAATATATAATATCAATGACGAAGCACTGACTATTGAGCACGTAAAGGAACTATTTTCCTATTTAATCAAATGGTCGTTTGATAAATCTGATTGCAAACATATTTGCTGCAACTCATTTAAAGCCTTCTTCTCTAATAAGAAAAGTAAATATGCTAGATATACTTACTAGAGTTGTGATAAGATGATTGAAGCTGTTAATTTTCTTCTGATAACATTTATTCACGTGTCGGCAATACAGTTTATCGACAGGTTGTATGTATTCCTATGGGCGCCAACTAAGCCCCTTCAATAGCAAACTTGTTAGTATACTGTGATGAATCACAGTTTATGACCAAACTCAGTAAAGACCGTCTAAATTGCATTTAATCGATAGTTCAACAACACTTACCGATGTTTACCGAGCCCGGAAATTTAGATACGATCCGGGTAAACTTGTCGATCCTTTAAATAAACTTATTCTAAAAGGTTACCAATTCAACACTGTAACTAAATATCATTGTTATATACATATGCACATTCATGGCTCTACAATCTGTCGATACCAGTATCTTGGCATTGCACATGGTCATGTTTTTCTCTGACTATTAATGACGTCTTTACGCTAAATCCATTGGATGTTGGATGTATACTGATTGATATTTGAGTCTTAGATGCATGATTTTTTTATTAATTGTTAGTGGCTTTGAACTAGCGTTCAGTAACTGCAAGTACACTCAGATCTGTACTGAGTGTCTTTTTTAATTGTGGGGATGTATAAATACCCTGTCTGTATTTTTTGTTAGATGTATTTTCTGCTGTGTATCGATTTGATGAGTTAAGTCCTTTTCAACTGATTTTTAATTTTTTTTTCTTATGCTGTACTGTTACACTACTGTCCCATGTTAGTGATAGTGTTTGGGCACAGCAAAGTAGTTTAACCCCGCCAAATTATGTATGTGTCTGTCCCAAGTCTGGAGCCTGTAATCAGTAGTTGTCGTTTGTTGCTGTATATTATATTTGTTTTTCGTTCATTGTTTTGTACATAAATCAGGCCGTTAGGTTTGTCGTTTGAAAGGTTTCACATTTGTAATTATAGCTGACTATGTAGTATGGGTTTTGCTCAATGTTGAAAGCCGTACGGTGACCTAAAGCTGTAAACTTCCATGTCATTTAGTCTCTGGTGGAGAGTTGTTTGATTGGCATTCATACCACATCTTCTTATTTTTATATCAGTCCACCATGCCATCAGTTGTACCAACCAAGTACTAGAAAAGAACACCTTATAAATAAGATGCGTCCGAAATGTCTGTCTCCAACAGGAAGTCTCGAACCATAAACTTGAAAGGTAGTGATGTGTAAATACGTTAATACTTGATGAGCTATATGAACAAATATGCGTCTTTTTATGTCGTTGAAGAGTTTTAAGTTGTTTCCCTTTTTGACGAGATCCAGGGTTATCTTTTCACAGAAAAGAATATAGCTTTATTTTATATAATATTATATTTAAATTTCAGACTAACGAGATTGTGAAAAACATTAAGATATAGTGCTGTTGTCTTTTAATACACATATAATATAAAGATGTTAAACTTGAAATGACATAATGATTAAACAGAATTGCCTATATTACACCTTTCCAATGCAAACAATTCACGGTTTATCATTTAGTTATAAGATTAAACTGAAAATTCGTGGAAATATTTTAATTTTATGCTTTGTATCAACCTTTATAATTGGTTGTCTATCCAATATTTGTTTTTGAGCTGATACATTATGTGAGATAGTTTGCCATGTATATCTTTTATGTATGTTTTTGAGCTGATACATCATGTGAGATAGTTTGCCATGTATATCTTTTATGTATGTTTTTGAGCTGATACATCATGTGAGATAGTTTGCCATGTATATCTTTTATGTATGTTTTTGAGCTGATACATCATGTGAGATAGTTTGCCATGTAAATCTTTTATGTATGTTTTTGAGCTGATACATCATGTGAGATAGTTTGCCATGTATATCTTTTATGTATGTTTTTGAGCTGATACATCATGTGAGATAGTTTGCCATGTATATCTTTTATGTATGTTTTTGGGCTGATACATCATGTGAGATAGTTTGCCATGTATTATCTTTTATGTTTGTTTTTGAGTCAGATATTGGTAAACATCTGAATGTCCTGAAAGGAATTGTTGAATTTATTTCCTGAAATAGGCTTGATCTTAAGTGTCTTTGTTGTTGGGATGTTTAAGTACCCGTCCACGTCCACTCTGTGTTTTTGTTAGACGTATTTCTATTTGTATCCATCTGATGAGTTAAGCCTTTTTCAACTGATTTTTATAGTTTTTCTTATGTTGTACTGTTACACCACTGTCCCAGGTTAGGGAGGGTTGACGCCTTCAAACGAGTTTAACCCATCACATTCTGTATGTGCGTGTCCCAACTCAGGAGCCTGTAATTCAGTGGTTGTCGTTTGTTGCTTTGTAACATATTCGTTATTCGTTCATTATTTTGTACATACATTAGGTCGTTAGTTTTCTCGTTTAAATTGTTTTAAATTTGTCATTTCGGGGCCTTTTATAGCTGACTATGCGGTATGGGCTTTGTTGAAGTTCGTACGGTTACCTATAGTTGTTAGTTTCTGTGTCATTTGGTCTCTTGTAAAGAGTTCTCTTATTGGCAATCATACCACATCTTCTTATTTTTATAGATCTATTATATATATACAGGACATAATGCTCGTCTAAGTTTGACATTAATTTTAGTACTAAGGAGGAAGTCTGGAGTGTGAAGAGTTACAATATCCATATGTCAATGTTTGTATAGAGGGAAGTCTGGAGTTAGAAGGATTGCAATATAAATGTTAATACCAAGAAATGTAGTCAGGAGTTTGAAGAGTTACTAAATTAAGAGTTACTAAATTAACTTTTATTTTTAGAAGATAGTCTGATATTAAAGAGTTATAATAGTGTTTTTTTTGTGTACTTAGATGAAAGTCTGAAATTTGGAGAGTAACAATATCAATTTTTGAACTACTTCGAAGGTATTCTGGAGTTCGAAGATTTACAATACTAATGTTTGTACTTAGAGTGAAGTCTGCAGTTTGAAGAGTTACTATATCAATTTTTGAACTTAGAAGGTAGTCTGGAGTTAGAAGTGTTGGGATATTAATTTTTGTACTAAGAGAGTCATCCGCAGTTGGAAGTGTTGTTACTTAAATTCGTGTACTTAGTATCTAGAATTGTCGATTTTTTGCAATGTGATGGAGATGCTTCAAGACTTCATAAGAATGATAACTAGAAATCTATTATGTTTTATTGTTCCGAACAGAAAGTGGTTTCAATCGTATATTGTTATTTACAACAATGACGAAAAAAAAAGAGAAAGGAAATATATTACAAGATATGACAAAAAGATTAAGATTGGATTTGTATTTGGCTTGCGTATTGATATCTGAGACTCATGAGTATATGCAACATTTGTGTTCGCACTATATTATTTGTTCCAGTATATTTCAGTACGATGATGTAGTAGCCTCTTCTTCACTATCTGATGTCATCATTCCAACTTTCATTTGCTTCACTATATAGAAGAACACTTTTTTCCAAGCCGTCGACGATTCTTTTGTGTACTTTTCTTTCAAATACGACTCGAGTCCATAACTGAGAGCAGGCCATAGACGCTGAAAAAAATATGACATAGTCACATCTGCATGTAATAAGAAATAAAAAGTTGGGGTAGGATTGCCAATTAGACAATTTCACTGCTTTCTATTTAATTATATAAACACAATTATAACACGTTTTGTGGTTTTAGAAATGAAATAAAACACAAAAACAAAACCAACTTTGAACTGAATTCACTTGATGTATACAATAATGAAATAATAAATTATATATTTAGAAACATTATTTATACAAAGTTTGTTTTATTCGAGTTTGTTAATTTTCGGAAATGACTTATAACTGCTTTTAGTTTAAACTTATCATGATCAATGGTATAGATTGACAAAAAGCGAATCATGAAAATGAACTACATACTTTTATGGCCTCTAGGTTTGCATATGATTTCAAATAAGTTGAAAGAAAAAAAAGAGTTCTTTGCCAAACGTCTTTTTTCAATGCCAAAAATGTTTTTGTTCCACTTGGAGTCTCATACGTTTTACCTGTTACAGGGACTGATAAATAACGGAATAATATTAGGCCTATACATCTTATAAAATTCGAATGCTATATCAGTGCTGGATGAAAAAAATAACTTCGTATCTTATTGCGGAAATGTTCATTATTATTCAGCTAGTTACATCTTTTGTGAATCATAAGATAACCAATTTGAAACCTACACAAAATTTATTTAAAAAAAAACAACCTTTGAGTGCTTGATTTTTTAAAAAGCGAACAAAATTATGTTTTGTTTGCCTAAGGTTCTCAATATGCTTATCTTCAAAAATGGGACATAGGTTGTTGCAAATGACATACATTGTAAGAATTTCATGCTGAATGTTTTTTTCTGTCCCTTTATGGGATGAATAATTAAAAAAAACTGTTTTAGAAAGAAGATACATTTTCTTTGTACTTTAAGCGTACTACAGACATATGCGTGTACACTTCTATCAACATATATATTAACACATATTAAGACTTATCCCCTGAAATGTTCGTTAGTTTTACTTTAAATATTCATTTCAATTATTACAGTAACTGTTATAACAACAGGGCGATCCACGGGTGGCAATATCAATCTTTGTATAACTTTCCGGAGAAAATGCAATAATTTCCGGTTCTATTGGCCAACAGTTTATGTTGTTTTTGTTTTGTTATGTTATCTTTGTTTATTCTTTTCTTAATCATAAATCTTTAATTGGTCCCGTCCTGTCGTCTGCATCTGTCCTGTCGTCTGCATGCTCCTTCATCACATTATAGCGGGGTTATTGTTTGTATCAGACTTACCAATATAATTTTTGATTTTACGTTACGCTTTACATGCTGACGGCCCACTTCTAGAAGGACGGAATTCAAGGCCTCTGATTCGTCTAAACTTTCAATAGCTGCAGCTAAACTGTGCATTACAATTGAAGCATGTTTCTTTAGCATTTCTATATCTGTCCCAAGTTCCAGTTCATTCTGGTCATTAATTCGGACAATCTTAGGAAATAGTACCTTCAACTTCGGTTGAACTTCAAAAAACCTGTTAACATATGAAAAAACCTTGTTACATGCTAATGAAAAGTTTCATTTTTTACGAAAACAAAGACTAACCCGAATAAATTTTGAATCTTCTATCAGTCGACAGCTCTACCTGAGGACGACGAATTACCGTATTATAGCCTATTACAAAGACTGTTCAGTTACGAACAAAAATAGCTGAATTGAGTAACTTGTATCGTACATTATATTTGTGCTTGAAAGTTATTGAAAATATAAGATACAAACTTCCAACTTGCGACCATTCTTAAATTTCAGTAGCAGAAGAAGAAACGCATTCAACAAGATTAATGCTTTTATATTTCAAATTTTACTTCTATTCTTAAATTTCAAAGGAAAGATATATAAAATAAAATTGAGAATGGAAATGGGGAATATGTCAAAGAGACAACAACCCGACTAAAGAGCAGACAACAGCCGAAGGCCACCAAATATTTATTTAGACAAGTTTTAAATGGAACGAGATTTGTGTAGAAACCAACAACTATTTAACCCAATATCGGACACACGAGTTCTTCAATTGGTTTATTGAGAATCCGGTTCTATAATGATACAATTTTAGATAAAAGAGCTTAGACATAATTTTTAAAAAGACACCCTGTAGTAAACCAAAACTAAAATTATGTTGAAGTAAAAATATCTTTTGTCCTTCTGCTTCTCATTTTATCTAATTAACTTTGGTTATCAATGTTCTTTGAAACAAAATTTTACATAAAAAAAAACCCTGTCAAAAGTTCATTTAATTTTTATCAAAATGTCTTTAACAGGAACATGTAGCTATAACTAACATTTCATTTGATGAAAATGTGTATGATGTTAAAAAAAGTTTATGATATAAAATCTTTAATATTCAATTTGCAATAGGATTTCACAACTTTTTTACCCTGCGAGTGAAACAAAAACTTTTACCCTGCGAGTGAAACAAAAACGGCGTCGTACCTCTTTATCTTTGCCAATTGATCGCGGCACTTTATTTGAAAAATATGTCTATTCTTTACTATGAAAACAACATAATAATTAAATATTTTCTGTTTTACAAGGGAAACATGCTAAAATTTGAGACAAGAGAAGATTTTCCGTTCCCATTTATAAATTTTCATTTTATTTGACAACGACATTCTTTTGGCTCAATCAGTGAAAGTTAGGGAGGAAAAATATTTGCAAATTGCCATTATGTATAGAAAATGCAAGACAATGTCATTATGATAAGACTGTTTGTAGCAGAACGTTGTAATAACAACAAATGATTTAGTACCAACTGTTGTTCCGAATTAATATGGACATAATAATTCTTGCAAATGAAGATAAGTTATCGCTTTAACATCGTCCAACAGATTAATAATTATCATATTCCGTGTTATGGTAGTTGCATATTCCATTTGTTAATTGTTGAAATTATGGTATTCATCGACTTAGGTGTTGATATATGACTTCTCTTTTTACCTTGATGTACTGATAAACCTTTACTTCAAACAATGTTCGAGAAGATCCATTTCTGGCACCAATGAAATTGTTGCTGGTTACATATGTAGCTTTTGAATATTGGTGACAGAATGTTTTGCAAAGTTTAAATTTGCGTTTTATCTCGGATTTAAATCTAAAGAATGGATGAGAAAAAAAAAAGTTGTTCGTTCCCTTTTCGAATAATATTGTTGTACTGATATAAATTAGATATAACTTTATTTTGTGAAGGTGAACTAATAGTAGCTGGAGACTCGAAGGATAATAATTCACGAGCTCCACAAATCAAGAGTGAATAATTATTTACGAATTTACTATTTACCACAAATTCGCCTATTTAAGAAATTTGGTAGCAAAACATACCTGTATACTATTCTTTTCCGGGTAGACTCACTGAATTATAATTCGTGAATGTTTGGAAGTAATTGTATCCAGACTATGAACATCTACATTGAGAATGCGAAAAATTAAGAAAAGTCTAAATGAAACTTAAGATTGATACATATTAATCACGCTAGTGTTCGAGGAGGATATTCAGTCGAAACTATTGGACATATCATATTATCAAAAAATAAAAACAGTAGAAAAATTGGTTATAACAAAAACTGTGTTATTGAATGGGAAAGATATTAATTTTATCTACCTTCAAATTTCACTATTTTATCAAAGTAAGGACCGTCATTATCGAATTTACAATAGTGAAATGACGAAGACAAAGATACATCAATACTTCCAGTCGGAATAAAACATTTAGATAATTTCAGCGCAAATTAGATATATACATATACATTGAAGAAAAATGTATTTAAATCGACTCTGTTACTGTTTAGGACGTTAAAACATCTTGGTGAAAGATTGTTATGTTTGCCCTTTTTATACCGTATAACAAGTTTTATCCGGAAGTGTACACTATTAACTTACTTTAAAAAAAAATCAACGGAGTCTTAAACACACCGGCCTTAAACACCTAGATGAGATCCCTAGTTGTTATTAAAGCATTGAAGAAGGTTGAAATTTTCATTAAAGTCTATTTTCTTTTCAGGTAAAAAATAATTTACGAAAGCCAGACCAGACCAAATTTTCATATAATAACTTCTGCGCAGTTGTACAATTAATGTAAGTGATATGGATTCTATATACTTTAAATAAAACACGTCATCAGTTAGATATGGCCATTGATTTTCAGGTTTCACTGAAACACTTCTCCAATAATTTCAGTTCACTTTTTTCCCCAGAACTTCCAAATGGTTATTAACTTGTAAATTTAACAGTAGGACATTACGCAACTTAGAATAAAATCAGATACCAGATATCATTATATTAAGCAACATGTTGATTATCATTGATTCGAGTCAAAAGATTGATGGAATAGATGGCGAACAATTCAATGTTTGTAAACAACAAGAAAAAAACTGTTTGATATCTGTAATGAATCAAAATACCAATTCTTTGACAAGTTTTAAAAACCTGTTTATTATATATTTGTGACTAAAATTCAATCAAACAGTGGGAAACGACGTTCTTATTCTTTCTTTTCCATGATTATAAAGCATTAACCTCTGGTGCACTTTTGTTTTTTTAAGCTGTGCTTGCATGTAAAATACAAAAAGTCTGTATATAAACATGACAGCTATTATTGGGATACAGTTTAGACAAAATATTGATTCTTTTGAAAAGTTGATCTTTTGTATACCTGAAACTATTTTTGAAAAAATGTGCCAAGAGGTACAAAGCTAATACTGAATTACATGTGTCCTTATCAGCGTGGGACACAAATTCCAAAGTCGATAATTTCTAATTTATCTCACTATAACACGAAAATAATGTACTTATAATGCTAAAATCGAACATTTTTTGTTTTTCTTCAATAAATAGGCAATTATTTACTCTACTACTGAAGAAAAAATAATTGTTACAAAAACTTAACTTTGTTTTCCACAAAAAATAGTTATCAAATATTTGAAAGCAGATGTACTTCAAAAACATGAAGATAATAAGTCATTATTCTTGAATCATAGATTATAGTTCGACAAAATTATTGATAAATCTAATGCAAAAAACTCTGATTTTTACAAGATTGTATTTGATGTAAAAAAAAAATAAATCGGTTATCTACTAATTGTTCTTGCAACATTTTAGTCTGATCAAATCAAAAAAGTTTTATTTTAATTCTGCAAGTTAAATAACAATACAAGAGCTGATTAAGATATATTATTGATAGTGAACTGTTTACTAATAAAAATATAGCAACAATGGTTGTTCGTTAATTGTCAGTGGATAATTTCGTAATTTTTCTCTGATTCAGACAAGTATTTGTACCAAGCAAAGCATATGATTCATACATGTATTTGGAACTCTTAAATTCCGGAATATGAATACTATCAGACTAACGTTTCTATCCGTCGAGATATTGTACCTTTTCCCCTCACAATAAAGAAAAAAAAAGTTTGAAACTTTGATTTTCTTTTTAACAAAAAATATTTTTGATTGGTCTGCATTAGAGGGTGACATTAAAAACTTGTCTCCACCTGAGCCATGGGATAGTATATAAATAACACATAGATGAGAGGTTGATAGAGCAGATCGTGAACCCCGAGAAAACATTGTCAATCGAATGACAATGTCTTTTCGAGGGATAGCAATCTGCTCTATCACCCTCTCAGATATGGTTTAATTAATTTATTATACTGAATATTCTGTTTTTATTGTCTGTTATTTTCAAATTCAAAGTAATAAACGATAACGTCTTGTACATCTATATTACTAAATGAATAGAGTTGAAATTGGGTGTCGCGTTTTCTTCTTTCACATAAAATCCACGAATATTGTTTTATAACACAAAGGGGTAATGACCAGCGTAGTTTATTATGTGTTCATTTCAAGATCTTTTGGGGGTATTTGGGGGTTAAAATCGGAAAAAAGCCAGTTCGGATCGACCGTCTTTCACGACGTTCGGCTCTGAAATTTACGTTCCGTCATCCTTTCCGTCATTGCACATCTGCAAATTTTAAAATTTTATTTCGTTGCAGATACGGTAAATATTGACCTTACACTGAAACACTTTGTGATACACACTCCCTTGACGCTCTCAGCAATTTAACAACAGATTGTTACACGTCAAGAGCTTTTCTTTCCGGAGAACCGCCTCAATTCAACATGAAAAGGGTGGGTGGATTACTTCAGTTTTCGGTTAAAAATGGGAACCGAAGTGCGGCTGGAAAGTGACCCACCCCCATTCATATATTAATGCATAAAATATTCAGCCCACTCATATATGGGGGTGCTTCTGAGCACGGAAACACCAGAAATCAGGTGCGGACCCAGGATTTAATGTTAGGGGGAGGGGGGGCTGCAAAAAAATATTGAACGGAGCATGTTGCGAAATATTTTTTTGGTAAATTAGCAAAAATGAACGTGTCGTCATCATTTCCGCTTTGTCTGCAAGTATTATGGTCTGCTCAGCAAAAAGTATACCCTAAAGGATGGGGGGATTACTTCGGTTTTCGGTTAAAAATGGGTACA